AGGAGGAGGAGGAGTAGGGATAGGACAGAGACAAGGGAGAGAAGGAAAGTGAGAAGGGGATAAAGGAGAGGAGGGAGAGGAGCGAAGGGCGGCAGAGGGAGAGGAGGGAGAGAGAGGGCAGGTCAGAAACTTTCACAGGAAAGGTTGCTCTCACCGTAGATGGCAGAGAAGTCAGAATCCTCGAGGAAAGAAGCTCCTCTACTGACGGATCTGAGCAAGGGACGTCACCTTGAACTCCCTCGTTGTTGCCCGGAACGCTCTTCAAGGTTTTCATAGGATGAACATCTCGAATTTCATGTGTATCTTCCTCCTGCATCGTAATCATCATTACGGTCATCATTGTCAATATCAATAATCATAGTCATCGTCATCGTCATTACCACCACCATCACCATCATGATCGTCATGATCATCATCTTCGTTATCATCCATCAAGAAATAATACCATGGCTGAAAGATGACAAACTTCGCGATGTTCCCCAAGCTGACAGCTCAACTCAAAAAACAGAAGAAGAGCAAAAACAGAACAATCACATCACTTCACATCTCATTCATCCCCTCCCCTTCCCTTCCTTTTCCCTCCTCTCCACTCTTCTCTACTCTCTACTCCCCTAATCTACTTTCCTCCCCCCACCCCTTCCCATCTCCTCCTCTTGTCACCTCCGTGAACGACGGGTCGTTCAAGCTCATCCAGTGGAACTCCAGCCCTTGCTTCACTTCTGCGAGGCAACTCCAGAGCTCCTTCACGCCCTCCTCCTGCTCCTCCTCGCCCCTCCTGCTCCTCCTCGCCTGCTCCTCCTCTTCCAGCAACTGCACGACGCTCTCCACAATCTTCATCCTCTCCATCGCATCCTTCAACCCCGTCCTCGCCAGGCTCGTCCGACGCCGCCAGACCTCCAGCTAAGGTGAGAGTGGTGAGAAAGAAAGACGTCAAGTAACGCTGGCGGCCACCTCGGACTGAAGGGACACGCTCCTCTCCTTGACCGCTTGCATCGCGTCGGACAGGTCAGACCTCTGCTGCTGCTGCTGCTCGACCTCCAGCTCGAGGTCCTCGATGCGCCTCTGCTGGGCCAGGAGCTGGTGCTGGAAGCTCTCAATCTGTTGCAAGCACAACTCAGCAACAGCAGTCAACCGGGAGCTCCCCCTCACACACCTCTCTTGCAGAGCTTGCAATCCTGGCTACCAGCTCCTTCTCCTTCTCCTCCAGCACCTCCTCCACCCTCCGCTGCCCTTCCCACGTCACCAGCAGGACACTTGCGAGGACCATCATCGTACCGCCTGTGCTGCGAGCGTCGAATCTCGAGAACTCTCAGCCCTCCTCTTCTCCTGCCACAAGAGCTCACGGAACCTTTCGGCTCTCACAGGAGTTTTGGTTGACCAGGAGCTGAGAATCAAGGGATCGGACCCGAGCTGAAAGTTCGTCGATTTCAATCTGAGGAGCTCGTGAGGAGGGGGGGGGAGCAGAGAGCAAGCGAAATAAACCTTGTCCTCGTCTCGCTTACGCAGCAAGCTCGCCATCTCAATCTTAGTTTCTTCGAGCTCTTTTTCTGATGAAGTTTGTAAACGGCGGTTGAACTTCCAATAGAAATCTTGTACCTTTCGTCGCCAGCATTGCTTCCCATTCCTTCTCAAGCTTCCGGGAATTCTGTTTGACCTCGCGGAGCTTGTTGTTGCATTCTACCTGTATAAAAGTCTGAGGACAAGAAGAGCAAGGCAGGAACAGGAGGAAGAGGAGGAGAAAGAGGAAGAGGAGGAGGAGGAGGAGGAGCAGCAGCAGGATGAAAGTGAGCCGATTGTTGACACCTGTACTGCAGCGATCTTCTCGACCTGCAACGAATGTGCCTCCTGCACTGTCTGTCTGAGCATGGAGTTCTCTTCCTGCAGCTGCGAGGAAGCAAGGGTCTCATCCTCTGCCATCTCTCCGCTGCTCACTTCGCACCTTGAGGATGGTTTGACTGGCGGCTTCCGCTTTCTCCTTCCATTTCGCCTCCTCCTGCCTGCAGCGAGACTTTCAGCGAGCACGCGGCAATGGAGGAGGAGAGCGCTTTCCTCCTGTATCTTCTCTCTCCTTCAAGCTTCTGCTGGAGATCTGACTGCAGACTGTCCGGCATACCACCTTTGATCTTACTGGCCAACACCGGGGAGGGGCCGCTATGCTCGACAGCCCGGACGGGCGCTGGGTCGTCCTCTGCCCACTTAGATGTGATGTTAGAGTGGAATAGAGAGATTGCGAGGTCATGAGATGCTCACTGGCCAGATGCTTGAGGAAAGGTTCAACATGGAGAGGATGGAATCGTCCCGTCGAGGTGTGCTGCTCGCCTCCTTTGTTGTGTTGGAGGACAGCTCTCGCCCCTCGCTCTCAGCTTGTCGAGCAGGAAGGCTTCTTTCCATATCTGCCTCCATCCTGCGTCCCTCTCCTCGCGCAGTCTGCGCCCCGTCGCGATCCCTCCTGCTGGTGAGCCAACCACGATCTCTTGTGAAGGAGGGGGAAGCTGAGAGAGGAAGGGGAGAGCCAGGGGAGGAGGAGGCATGAGGAGACGCGAGAGCCTTCGCTTGTCCTCGCTCATCGTCTCTCCTCCTCCTCTCCGTCAACGCATGCAGCACATGCGTCATGCCCTACCGACACAGCTCTCCCATTTCTGGAGCGGATTGACAAGATCTGAAACATGGTCGGGGGTAGGGTTCTCATGGTAGGGGTTATTTTACCAGAGAACACAGGCATTTAGTAGGTAGGGGTAGGTATAATCGGATGTTCCGGGGGGATAGAAGTGAGTCGCACAACACTTGTATTTCAATAATAAAACAAAAAATGCTTTTCATTTTTGTACCATTCTCAATCAATCGCAGTACAAAAAGCTAAACAGGAATCTGTACCAGTTTTCATCCATAAAAATGTTTTTCAAAATTCCTCGGTACGTAAGGAAACTTGAGTAAACTACATGGGTCAACAAAACCTGTACCCTCCCGTGAAAACTTGAAATCTAGCCTCGGGGTTTGAAATCATTTTCGGGCTACTCAAAACTTGACCAGTCTTCCCATGTGTTGTCAATCCTTGTCACCGCGCCGGCAGAAATGGCGGAAGTAGCTCTACAGGAACATGCTCCCGTTACCGCCGTCTCCTCCTCCTCCTCCTCTCCTCCCACCCTCCCTCCCCACGTACCTCGAGCGAGTCCACTCCCTCCTCCCGCAAGGCCTCCTCGTTGTGTGCCCGGATCCGCTCTGCGCATGTTCACGTCAGGGTGTTTGACGAGTGTGCGGGATCGTCTGCCTGCTGTGTATCCGATCTTGACTCCCCTGGGATATGAGACAGCGTCAGGATGAGACTGAACAAGAGTGTGCGGGAACCTGTCTATCGCCTCCGTTCTCAGGAGATTGATCATCTGAACGTCAACTGCTGTCAAAGATATGAAACATCCCACGAAGGAGCAACCGGGAAAGGAGCTCTCTTCTCGTAGTTCAAGTATGCTTCCTCCGGCTCCAGTCCTGCACGGAGTGAGCACTCCAAGCAGGCAGTAGGGCATGGCGCACCCCCAAACTCGAACTGAGGGTGGAACGCAGCTATCAAGACGTGCTCGCCAATCTCGTAAAGTTCTCCGTTCTCAAGTTCGTCCTCCATGACCTGACATGGATGGTCATCGAGCGCCAAGATTGCGGTGCAAGCACCTCGCTGAAGTCGTTCCAGTCAAGAAAGTCAGGGTAGAGGTTGGGAAACGCGAGGATGGTGGTGGGTAATTCCTGGAGGCAGGTCAGGGCGCCACGACGACAGTGTTGGTGTTGTTGGAGATGGAGGAGGCTATGGGGATGATGAGGAAGAGGGGGAGGAGAAGAAGGTAGAGGAGGAGAAGGCAAGAGAGAGAGGGGGAGGGGATGGGAGGAGGGCGATACATCCTCTGGCGTGTCGATCAGCATCTTTGCTGCTCTTGGTGTTAACCCGTACGCAGTAGCTGGCAGGCAGAACCTTCTTCGATGAAGAGATCTTTGGCGTCCTCCTCATCGGTGATGTCCTCCCTCACGATGATCCTTCAAGCTCGCGTCAGGATTACTCGAGCCCGCCTCGAACGAGCAGAGGACCTGATCCTGTCGATGACTCCGCTCGCCCAGGGACAGAGGCCTAGACGCACCTGATGGGCAAAGAGGAGGCACGTTTGTCGTCACGAGGAGCTTAGGACGGACATAGCCTGTTAAGTTCTCTGCTTACCACATGTTGAATAGCCCATTCACGGATGAATCGAACATTCTCATCGCTATCCGCGATCATTTGTTCACGATTTTCTTGCACTTCCTCGCCTTCTTTCTTGGCTTCCTTGCTTTCTTTAGAATTTTGGAGTTCGCTTGTAAACGGGTCAGTGACAGGATTGCCAAGGCAGAGCCCAAACAAACCGGTTAACTAGGTTGGATATCGCAAAGATTTGATCGTAAGGAATCGGAGCGGGAGCTTTCGTCGTCTTCTCCTGCCCCTCCGACGATGCTGACTCTGGGAATGGAAGTTCACCCCAATGGTATCAAGAAAGAAGAAATAGACTCCATCTCACTTGCAACTGATCTCTTGTTCGCCATGGATGACGATATCGCATCCGATGACGCCTTGAGCTCAAACTCCTGAGACCATTGCGGTCATGGACGACTCATTGTGAAGATCAACAGAAGCACATCAGCAGACGTCTGAGCAAGAAGCTTCTCGTGAGGGAAGTTGATGTAAAGCTCTTCGTAGGCTGCCAGTTGTCGGCGAACCTGCGGAGAGCAGCAGGGGAGGTCACCGGATTCTTGATGATTCACTTCTCCTCACCTCCTCCGCGGGAACCCCCTCCTCGTCCTCAACAGATGTTAGCACCCGTGCGCGTAACATAATGAATTTTCATACCATGGGAGGTGAAGTTTTCCAGACCTTCTTCTTCTGGTTCCACCTCACGTCCTTCACGTCCTGCAAACTGTCAAAACCTAAAGAAATATCGTTCATCCTCCCCTCTCCCATGACTTCCTTGCTCTGTTGCTCTCGGTCTCTCTCTCTACCTGCATCCCCTCGCATCCTCCTGTGTCGGCGGTCCAAAACCTCTCCGTCTTCCCTTCTCCCCCGTCTCCCGAGGCCGGAGGGTCACCCGGACGCACAACCTCCGCGTTCCACGACTGGGAGCACAAGGATCAGACGAAGAGGAGGACGGCATTCGTGAGTTCGCCACCTCCGGTGTCTTCATGATCCTAGGAAAGAAGGGGTAGACTCGACACTGCGCGGGCCTGTGCTCGTAAACACTGCAGGTCTTCTTGTCCTCCGAGAGGAACACGCATCCCTGGGAGCCCCCGGGCAGGCTCCTGTCCTTGAGGAGGAGCCAGCCGTCCACCTCCATCTTCCCAAAGCTTGCCACTACTTCCTCCCTCGTCATGGCGAAGAACTCCATCAAGCCTGCGACCTCCCCAGGAGCACACCATACGTCCCCGTACACCTGACAGCACTTGCCGCACCCTGTGCAGGCGAAGGGAACCTGCCCTCTGGCTTCCCACCAATCCTCTTTCCCTGCTCCTGCATGGAGCACGTGGAAGCTTCTCCTGCCGACAGACACCTCGCGGGTCACGGGAGGAGACTGGTGAGGAGGTCGAACCAAGAGCGCGCCAGATGAAAGCGGGTGTGAGCAGGAACGGGGAGGCAGGAGTGGTGGCGGTGGAAAGCATGGCAGAGGGGAGAGGAAGCATGGGAGAGGAAGAGTGTGTGTGTGTGCATGAGAGGATGAGGATGGAGTTACGCACAACAGCGCCATGCCCAGCGCCATGAGCGACCCCACCGCCGGCCTCACCATGTGCATAAATAACAATAATGCGACCGGTCGTGACTAGTCGAGTTCAGAGCTCGCCTCAGGCACTGTCTGTACCCTCATCCCCATGATACCCCCTCTCTTAAAGGAAAGGATGGCGCCGAGACATGCTGGGGCGCTAGGAGCGCTGCTCCTCTTGTTCTGCTCCCCCTGCAGCTCCTTCCGCATTCCAGCCCTCTTCAATGGCAGACAAGTCATCGGAGTCACCAGGAGACAGCACAGCTCTCCCCTCATGTTGATGAAGACCCCTCAAAACGTACCCATGAAGGACTCTCGGGGTTTTCTTTCCTTCGTGAAACGTGGTCGGATGCTGATTATGGGCAGGAAACAACATCGGAGATAGTCGCTATACCACGAACTATGCAGAAGATCTGAAGCCAGAGGTGCTGCTGTCTCGCATGGCTGTATACTTCTATCGCATGCTCGCTGAGAACATAGAAAGGTAGAGGAGCTACCTCCTGGAACAAGCGAGGAATTCTTGAGAGACGTTGCTCAGAGGTGAGAGGGAACGCACATCAATAGAAATGTTGAAGCTCATTAATCTCCTTGCCTAGACTGAAGAGTTCCCCATTGGTTCGAGACTTGGAAAGCGGAAGGATCAAGTTTCGTAACAGTGTCGTCGGAACGGAGGTATCCAGAACCAGGAGCTCTCGAAAGCCACGATCTGACATGGAAATTAAGGTTGTCGACTGGATGGTCAAACAAAGAATCGCCAAGGACAGGAGGGTAGCGGTAATAGAACATCATGAGACTTCTGCACAAATCCCTGGTCCTTCTCAACTCACAGATACGGAAAGGTGGCGTATGGAAGACAGCTGATCCGTCTGGCTGAGATCGTTCACTGCACCAGAGGGCATGACTTCAAGGTGGGTTGAACACGTACGCTCCGAAGCATTTGATTCACTTTTGTACAGGACGAAGAACTCTTCTATCGTTTCGTATCTGACTACGAGAAGGGGTAGGGCTAGTTTGCGAATTGAAGGGTTCTCATGCTAACAATGCTGCTAAGTTTGATCAATCCCAAGACTCCTTACCAGTACGCGATGAGGGTGAGCATCTATTTGTATCAAAGATTCCTCCCTGACTGTCTGTTTTCCCTAAGGTCCTCTCAACACCTCCCATCCTGTTTGCCGGCATCGTTGCCTTCCTAGTCATTGCTAACATTGCATACCTGTTCAAATCACCTTAAAAGTCTGGAAGTGATCCACTTGCATCGAGTTCTGCAAGCACTTAATAATCTTACCGCGCTCACGTTCAAAGATAATCAAACGAATAAAGCTTTATTTACAATTGATTCAAGGTATTTACACAAATATGTCATGCTCAGATCTGCTGAGCCTGAGCCATGGTTGACGACACATGGGGAATGTGGGGGATCCCTCCCATCTTTGCAGGCATGCTCGACGGCATCTTAGGAGCCGTTGACCCCTGTAGGTTGAGCGAGACGTGGCTCTTGTCCCTCATGTACCTCGGGATGTAGTGCTTGAAATGATTCTCCGCACTGTAAACATCCAGATGGGGTTTCCCAAGCAAGTCCTCAGTAATCCTGTGATTTGGCATCATGTAAACCCAAGGCTTCATTGTCATAGCTGTGTGGATGAGACCAGTATCCCTCTGATGAGGGCAGAGTGTAAGATCTTCGATTTCAACCTGTTCTCTTGTGTAGTACTTAGGAACACCCTCCAGCTCGTCGAGCTTCGCCAGCATCTCGTTGTCCACTGCGTACAGCTCACCCGAGACCTGGGATCCCATGCCAGGTGCCTGAAGGAGGAAGGGCACGTAGTACTCATCGGTGATGAGGGGTAGGCATGGTTTCGTCTTTGCTGCACCGATGTAGTTTGCACCACGGATCACTTTAGAGTTGTAAAGGCCTCGCTTCAAGGTCCCGTACACAAACACTAGGTTGAACGCATTCATGGCGTTAGCTACCAGACCACCATTGCAAATCATCTCGATGCCTTTTTTCTGTTGATGTAGATGTCACTGAGTAGATAACTTGTCTTGCTTGTCTGTCTGTTTTCCCTCTCTTGCTCTCTATCTCTCCTCTTGTTTCGTCTTGTTGACGGCGCGCTCCTCAGATTGTTATCTTGATGTGGTGGAACTTGCGGATCGACAGGGGACGACCTTTCTTGAAATAACCTCGCACTCTTTCTCCAGTTGGCGGGATAATTTCAATGTACAATAGAGTTTTCACGCCAACTGTGAAAACAAATCTAATTCCATCCCCTTTTGTCGTCTCCTGCAGTACTGTTCAATGATTCTTACACGACAACTTGAAGTTGGCATGTAAAGAACCAGTATGAATCTTCAAAATTACGCCAACGTTGATAGCCCCTATCTCTTTTTTTCCTCGAACACCAGCATGCACAGGTCAACAGTTGACCCACCCTCAAATCACCCCAGGATTTTCCCCACCCCCCTATGCACCTCCCACTACCCCGTATTGTGGTCCCCACATCCAACGTACCGCCCCCTGATACGAGACCATGATACAATTAAGGGTTCATTCGATTAAATACACACCTTCTGCCCAATGGTACGTAAAGGTTCTAACAGGCAACAACCCCTACCCCCATGGATGCCTTTGAGCTAGACCGCCCCATCAAGGCAAAGGTACGAAATGGGTACCCCACCCCCTTGCCCCTTGAAGTCCCCCAGAGCCTTGGGAAGGATGGGGAATCAAGGGAAAATACATTTAAATATTGCTATATAATAACGGTACGAGGATAGTAGAGGATCAATACAAATCAATTATGATTATCCAAAGTGTATATGAACACACAATATTTTTCGTAGATTTCGTTACAAAATGTCTCAAATATCTAATTATTAAAAAGTGATTTTTGGTACAAACTTTACTATATTGAATCACTTTATAAATTATAAAAATATTTTTTCTACGAGTGAAAGCGAGTGGTACAGCCGTGGTACAGATTGCTGGAGACGTGCATCTCTAAATGCGGATGGAGGATTGATATAGGCCACACTACCGGTACAAAGTCCAAATTTCTGCTTATAATCGGTCCGGGTGGGGTGGTCACCATGGCCCAACATAGAATTGACGGGACAGGAGTGAACCTTTGTCGTCACTTTCCAAATATACAGATAAATTTTGAATTCTACCGAAAATATCGCAAATATTTAGCAGGTAGAGTGGGTCAACACTCCAAGGTTTCAAAAGCTGAAAACTCGTAGCTCTTGAGAATCGAGTCCTTTGATCAAAGGCTACAAGATTAGAGCCTTCCATCCTCCCACGTATCGGCTTACTTCCGGCGTGTCATCAAGACTCCAACCGTTGAGTTACAGAGTCCCAAGTCATTGCTTTACTTCGGCTCCAGTTTGACCACATTTTGACCAAATTTTTGACCTCCCAGCTGACCAGCAATCTTGGTACACCTGGAGATTTGACAGGTTTTGACCGCTAGTTGACTGATCTGCAGGCTTCAAGCTCGGTTGACGCACGGTTCCGATCACGGCCGCAGTTAACTTAAAAAATTGTCCTCCCTGATTTGAGTGAATGGCAACCCACGGGATGGCCGGAGCCGGCCCAGCCCGGGGCAAAGGCTAACCTCGTCATTGAGGCGGGCCGGTAATATTTTGAGTTAAATATTTGAAGTTGAGTAAAGAATCACGACGAAGAGACAACGACATGCTCTGGGGCTGGAGGGAGAAAGAAACGGACAGAGGAGAGAACGCGAGGGAGGGCGAGGAGAGGAGGATGAAGATCAAGTTGTAGAGAAGAAAGATGCACGATATATGGGTGGAAAGAGAATGGTGAAGGAGGGCTCCGAGGGCATGGAGGGAGAGATAAAGAAAAGAGAAGCCCAGGAATCAACATGGAGGGGCGAAGGTATAAACGATTGAAAGGTGAAATAAGGAAAGGTAAAGGAGAGAAAATGAGAATCACAAGGACGAGATGAGGGAAGAGTGGAGGATCAGAGAAAGGTACACGATGAAAAGCGGATGAAAATTAGCTGGCGGGGCTTCGTGGTTGCGAGGAGTAATGGTATGTAGGATAATGCTATTTCGGAGAAGATATGAACAATGCCAGAGAGAGAGATATTGCGTGGAAGAGACCGATTATCAGGGAGAGAAGGAGCACCTGGTAGCAAGATAGAGAACTGGGGAAAGGTTCATGGCATGGATGTGCTATAATAGCTGATGTATGAGAAATAGCTGGTACATGAGGGGAGGAGCTGCTGTATGAGAGCTTCTTGTGACGTCATACCGCAAGTGTGACGAGTAGACTTATACGAAGCGATGCCGCACGTGGAGTGCAAGAGCGATTTTTTCAACACAAAAGCACTGATAATGATTCATCCAGCTAGATCAGCCCTGCATCGGTCGCTCAGGCCTCAGACCATGGTTGCTAACCGAGGTAGACGTTTTGTGTGGCAGCCTCCATCATCAAGGCTGACGGGCCCCCGCAGGAACCTTCATGTTTCTCGGGGACAGCAGCAGCAACCTTCGGGCTGTAAGGATTGCGGTCTTGTTCTCATGTATGGCAGCCGCTCTCGTACTGGTCACGCTCGGGGGCAGGGATCCCGTCTTCCTTGAGAACGGTATAGACGAGGATATGAAGACGGCCGTGGACAAAATCATGGCACGCCCAACAGAAGAAGATAACAGCGCCAAGACCGTCGCAACGCATGAAGCAAGAGCTGTGAAAGGCGACTTGATGATGGAAAGGGATCTGATCAAGCACATGAAGGTGAAGGCAAGTGCTATGGTCTCCTGAACTCACTCGCCTGCTCTCTGCAGATGGTTCGCGCACAACTGGTGAATGGAGAGCCCATGGGCACGAAAGACATCGAATCTCAAATCAAGTTTCTCAAGGAGGATATCGACTTCCTCCTTCTCAACCCTGAGTCTGCGGGGTATACCAAGATCCCGTATGACAGCAGGAAACGAAGGCTGGAGCTTGCGCAGCGGATAAAATCACTTGTCGACTACTTGCAGTATCGTCTCGTCACCGAGCATGGGTGCAGCATTCACGCTGTTCTCAACGATGGGAGGTGCATGCCTGACCCTCTGCCCAACAAGCTGCAGGGAGACTGGGAGCAAGAAATGTACGGCAACTCCTATCGTGCGTATCAGCCCTACTACTACGCTCAAGGGCTCGCGAATGGAGCGTACCCTGGAGGATTGGCAGGAGGAGGAGGAGGAGGAAGCACAACCAAGACTGTGGGCACGGAGATCAAGGCTAATGGCAAGAATAGGTGAGCTCCGGCCCTGTCTTGCCTCTCAAGTTTCTGACGCTTCGAACGTACAGCCGCAACGACTTTGTCATTTTTGGTGGGCCTGTCAGCGTGAAGTTTCCTGCTCCTGCTCCTGCGTACACTACCATTGTCTCAGGGATGCCGGGAGGGCAACCCATGGGCTCGCTGCTGCAGCCAGGGCCTGGCATTGGGCGGTGAAAGTGTGGGAGTACTGTAGAGTAAACTGTTTGAACCCGGCAGCCTTCCCGCAGAGTGAAAGCAACTATCATGGCATGACAGCAGGGTCTGTCTCTGCAAGTGTTCACACTACTGTTACCGCCTCAACAACTGAACTGTGGCCCGGCCGTTGAACGTCAGTGACGCGGTGCATCACCCTGAAGTCGGATTCGGCTAAGCAAGCTTCTGATTCGACTAACCAAGCTTCTGATTCGACTAACCAAGCTTCTGATTCGACTAACCAAGCTTCTGAGTAACTTGAAAGACTGAGAGAGCCATCACTGTCAAGAAAGTGCCCTGGCATTGTCCATGTTTTTACTGGGTTCGAGAATCCTGCCATTAGTTTGCAAAAGTTTATTACTAAATTAGATGAACCCTTACTTGCTTTGCCGCCCCAGCTGCAAGCCACTGATGGAAATCAATTCACGTCAGTTGTTCTCCCTTTTCGATGCCCAAAGTTGTGACTTCTCCCTTCCTTTCTTTCCGTCAGTTCTCCAGGGAATTCTCATCAAGTCAGGGAGCTCCTGACTGGCTTCAACGCCACACCTGATCGCCTGCTCCTGCTGCTGACTAGAGAACTCGGAAGAGCGATTCTCTTGCGGTTGAAAGCCACTCGAGCCGCAGGGAAGGTACTTCTTTGCCAGCTCTCGAAAGGAGGAAGAAACCCAGCCGTCTACTCGAGCTTTAACATGGAAAAGTTTCATCTTCATCCTGCCGATCCCCCGAGGAACGCGAAACCGGGCGCAGCGAGTCGTAAAGATGGCGTATGGCAAGATGAAGTCACAAGAAACAACAATGAAGACGGGGGCAAAGGTCTTTGTGAGGGCAAGGTCAACCAGAATCTTTGTTGAGGAGTAGGTAAACCAAGTGCCGATGATGATGCCACCAAAGAGCCAAAACACGACCAGCCCGACTCCTATGAAGAAGAGAGAAACTCCGGTAACGTACAGGAGCACCGCGATGCAGCCTGTGCAACCCTCTTTCCTCCTCTTTCTCCTCCTTGTCCGAGTTCCGGCTGCACATCATGACGAAAAGAGGCCACCAGCCATAGAAGGAACTCCGTATGGTATCCCTGCGATAGACCACTTGTGCCAGCACGCGGCCAACCGTGAGGTGACCGGGAGATCGCTCTGCAGCTCGTAGCAGTGCGGTGTGATCTCCATCGAGGTCAGAGGAAGCAGGACAAGCGACTGCTGACTCGAAAGAGCTGTTGAGATGACAAGGAAGGAAATTTTGCGCTTCAGCCATGTCCATTTCGTCTCGAAGCATCCTTTCTGTTTAGTATCGACGGTTCGGGGCTGCTGACTGCAATCGCGGTCTCTTGTCTTGGCTGCACCATAGCTCTGACACCAGGAATAACACCACCAGCGCTGTAAGACTGTTGCTCCTCCTCCTCCTCCTCCTCCTCCTCCTTCTCTCCCTCCTCCTCCTCCTTCTCTCCCTCCTCTCCCTCCTCCTCTCCCTCCTCCTCTCCCTCCTCCTCTCCCTCCTCCTCCTCCTCGCCACCTTCAACAGGAGAGGTGTTGTTTTCAACGACAGGTTCACTCCTGATGGTATCCGGCAAAATTCTTGAAGTGATATGCTCTTCTCCTTTTAACTCACTTTCAAGATTCGCATCCTTCATCATCATGTAAAAGGAAATGCAGGCCCAAATGATCAATCCCAGGCCAACGCTCAACTTGGACGAGATGTTCTCGTATGAGCTCTCATCTCCAAGAATACTGGTCGTGAATTCATAAATGCCAAACTTGCACAATGCCTCCTGCCCGATGTAGCTGAGCGAGCTATGTGGGGCACAAGTTCGATTATATTGATAGTCATCTTTTGACAACAGCCATACGAGACGGTCAGGGTTGTCACTGACATAGTATGCCTTCATCACCCTAGCCTCCGACGATGTCAGGAACCAGTTGAACCTTGCGCTCATGAACGCCATATTATAAACGATCCAGAGCATCGGGAGCAAGCACTTGCCGATGAAACGGATATCTCCTTGATCGACCGTACAGTTCTGCAAGACGATGGTGATGAAGAGTATGAAGAAATGGAACGTAAAAGCGAATTTGAAAATGGTAGAGGATAGACCGTTCTGCATGAACCAGGACTTCTGGTCATGATTTTCAGGCCTCGGATCTTGGCTATCCGAGTTATTGCGTTGAATGCAACCGGTATCGTTGACCATCTGATCTTGCAAGCAAGGGAAGCAAACTGATCGATGAGAGGTGTTGGTTGAAAATTCCCCGGGGGGCATGGTGTGCAGCAGTAGTCGAGCATCGCAATCTTGCATGAGCTTGTTGTACAATTGGCTCCGCTGCGGGACGTCGCCGTACAGTTTGAGCCAATGCAACAAGTCGAGTACCCCTTGTCTGTCGAGCAGGGGCGATTTTCCATGTCGCAACAGCTGGTACACATCGATTGGTTGAGAATCTTGTCCTTACCACAAATGCGATCACCTTGCACTGAGCTTGTGATGAGAAAGGAGAGAATACAAGTGCTGCACAGCTTGGAATGTATGAACAACATCTCAACGTCTTTGCCTCAAACAATTCAGACTACAACTGTGCTGGAACAAGCGAGGTCCTCGAGGAGAGGAGGCTGGGACAGAGGACGCCAGAGGTCTAGTCAAGAAGCCACCCTCCACCCTACCCCTGCCAAGGCCAGAGTCAACATGTCCAGAGACCCGGTACTCAGCACTGCTGGACATTCGGAGGCCGCCGCTGCGCGGCCGCGGCCCCGCGGGGGTCCGACGGTCACGGGTCCGACCGTCGGCGCGACGAAGCCTTGAAGCCTTTGCGGCCTACTTGCGGCGGGCGGCCCGGCGCGGCACGATGTGAAAATCGCGGCTCAAAGTTAAGTCAACCCCCCGGCGAGTCAAATAAAATGCTGGACCGTACTGCACCAAGATTCGAAGAGACAAGACTGATGGAACGTATGTCAGCCGTGCCATCAGATAGCGCCGAGTTAACAAAAACTCTCCTGTAAACCAAGACGACTTACGTGTTTCAAGGCGGCATGTAGCGTGTGGACGAAGAGGGGGCTTTCCTAGCCGTCTTGCTAAGGTCCTCTCATGTCTGGATGCTTGGGTTTCACATCCTAGTATACAGTCTATCTCTCATGTGCTCCTCAATTCTGGTTTTGTGTGCATTAAACTCGGTCTTGAGCAAAAACTGCCAGGCTTGTTTCAATAAGGTTGATGTGATATCTGCGTTACTTTTGGCATAGTACAAGTCTAACAAACTTGTATTCCGTCAAAGACCGTACGGAAACACTGTCGAGTCACTGAGAGTCCAATCGGATCGCACCCCGGAAGTTCAAGGTGCCGCGCCTCCATTGTATTTCCAACTCGGCCGGTAGTGTTAGTTGTAACAAGACAGTTTTTGCTCAAGACCGAGTTTAATGCACACAAATCCAGAATTGAGGAGCACATGAGAGATAGACTGTATGCTAGGATGCCAGTGAAACCCAAGCATCCAGACATGTGCAAGACGGCTAGGAAAGCCCCCTCTTCGTCCCACACGCTACATTGGCCGCCTTGACACGTCAGTCGTCTTGGTTTACAGGAGAGTTTTTGTTAACTCGGCGCTATCTGACTGGCACGGCTGGCATACGTTCCATCAACGCCGGCGTGCGCGCGGCGGCCCGGCCGCCGGGGCCGGGGCCGCCGGCCAGGGCGGCGGCGCCCTGGGTCAAGATGGGGATGAGGCTTCAGTTACATTCATCGCGTGACTCTCCTACCCCCTACCCCTTGACTTCTGGTACCCTACCCCCTTCAATAGCTGACAACTTCATAGGTTAGTACCCCTACCTGTGTCATAATCAATACATCCTACGTCAGTTCAGTAAACCCCTACCATACCCAATGCCACCTGAGATTATGTACCCCCACCCACCAAAAAGTACCTTCACCCAATATTCCTATTATATTTGCTCTAGTGGTACCCCTTATATATTCACCCTCACCCCTTCTGGAGATACCCCCACCCCCCAATTTGTATTGTACCAGCTGTCTTCCTCTTGCAGGGCTCATGCAGAGGAGCGAGGAGGAGGCGGGGGAGGTGGGGGGTAGGGAAAGTGCGAGGAATGCAGGAAGCGAAGGCGGAGGAATGGAACGAAGATGGTGGAGGAAGAAGACTCTGCAAGACTGTATTGAAGAGACAGAGAAGAACATACCTAATTCACAGCTGAGGAGAAATGCTGTTGTATGCATGCCCGCACGATTGGAAAGGATGGGAATTTTGCAAGGCTTCATTTTCTGAATTTGCAGGAAAAACATTTTGATGAGACATTGAAGTAGTTTTGGAAAAAAATGATAAGATACGATAAGAGCGCAACAATGATTGTCCAGTTTTGCGCAAACTGAAAGTTTTCATGTTTAGTGGAATGTGCAGAAAAGGGAAATTGAAGACACACAATTTACATGGTCTTTAGTTTCATTTCAGGGGAATTATTGAATGAGCACAGATGATAAAGTCTTGCCACCTATTTCGTATCTCGTGAAATCGGAACAAGAATTTGACTCTTTGGTGAAGGCAGAAAAAGAACGATGCCTGACGAAGACCCAAACAAACAGATTCCACGTATCTTCGTGGGAGGTTGAATCTTGTAGCATGAAAGAAATTTACGCTGACGAATGTGCGAAGGTATGGCCCACGGTCGAGATCCTCAGAAACCTGTGAACGAGGAGATGATTCGAACAGTTTTTGGCAAGTTCGGAGAAATCGTCACCATCAAGACAGGTTTCTGACTTTTAGTTCTGTCGTGTTGCCTTGTGACACTGTCGAACAGGCATGAAGGATTTCGTGTTCATCGACTACAAGGACCATGAGAGTTGTCAGCGAGCAATCGAGACAATGCATCAGAAACCCTTCGATGAGGACTCGTCGGGCCCGATGAAGGTAGGAGGGGGTGAGTTGGGAACGACAGGGTGTGAAGATGCTTGTGTGCAGGTTCAATATGCTGAGCCGAGACGCGAGCGCCGCGCGGACACTCGGAGGTTTGAAAGGCGTTCTCGCTCCCCGGGAGGACGGGGAAATTTCATCCGACGTCCTACCCCTCCGCCGTTGGAACGTCCGAGAATGCCGGAGGGATATCCTCAAGACCGCCCCCGACATTATGAGGATTTCCCACCAGAACGTGAGTGGATGGATAGGCCAAGGTCCAGGTCCAGGTCTGGGCGTTTCGACCCTCGGAACGATTACAATCGCCCGCTCCGAAGCCGATCTCGCTCCCCCGGCCCTCCTCCAAGTGCCTACAACGACAGGTACATGGATCGTCGCCACGAGCATCATGGCCAGTATCGCAATGGAGGGGATCACGGATACAACCGAGACATGCCCCGTGACCCGACGATGCGTCATCCGGGCGATATGAGAGGTTCCGACCGCGATTACGGTCGTCAGCCAATGTATGCATATCGACTTGTGCTCGCCGCTTGCTTTGGTATTGAAGCTCATTGGTGTTTGCAGGCCTGATGGAAGGTATCAACAGCATGGAAGGGGAATGCCGGATAGAGGATATGACCGTCAAGCTCCAAGGGAACCATACAATGCTGGCCGTGATGACCGTTACGATCGAAGGCAACCTTATCCCAGAGACGATCGATACGACAGAATGCAGCCTCGCCGGGAGGATCGACCCAATGGAGGCCCCAACGGCCCAGGAGGATACGATCCAAGAGCTGCTCCTCGGAACGATCAATTCCGAGGGAACCCGCGACGCCCCCCCTCCCCGGCTAGGCCACCGGCTGGAGGGCGGAGCAGGAGCAGAGAGCCGATGGAAAACACTTCCGTCAGGAGGGATGACTACGGGCAGTATGACATGAGGGGAGCTCGAGACAACGCATATGATAGACCAGTGGACCCAAATGCTCGGTACGGCATGGACAGGCCTGATGGAGGGAACTACGATCAACCAGGTCGAGGAGGGCGTCCTGAGCCGGAGAACTTTCCGCAGCGATACGATCAACAGCCTGGAGGAGGAGACATGAGAGGCTACGGCAGGGATGCCCCCATGGATAAGTTCTCTTCCTACGGGAACGGCCCCAACGATGACGACCGAGGCCTGCCGCCGAATGAGCAGTCGAGGAGGAGGCAGCGCGAGGAACGCTTCTCGTCCAACAACCCGGGGGAACAGGTCCAGCTCCTGATGATGATCGACGTTGTCTTACCCTTCCTGCAGGATGCTCCTAGAGACCAAGGACGGGCCGCAGCGTCTGACTTTGATGATGGAGACATGTGAAACTGCACACGAATGGCAGGGGCACAAGCACCCCGTGGTAGATGAATGGCACATGGTTAAGGTGACAGATCGTAAGGAGAGGTAGGAGTTGACTTCTTGAGTACGAGTATGCACACCGGACAACGAAGCAGCAGGAAAAGATTGGAATTTAAGGAAAGAAAGAAAGAAAGATGAATTCTGCTTGCACTCCTTGTCAGGCTGCGACAGTGGCTTGCTTGAGGGAGAATGAGTCTGTTGAACATTCACATGTTTTCACTAACATCACTTTAGAAACATCGCTAGATCAGATGTCGGAAGTCTCCCTGTAGCCCTTCCAAGATGCGGGAGACACGAAGTTGTGCTCTGCCATGGTCTGCAGGACGAGCTTGCCTGCTGCTCCGTCAGCCAACTCCAAGACACGAGGAAGGGAAGAGAGAGAAGGAACGAGAGCAGACGAGAAGAGGAGGCGGGGGAGAGGGAGAGAAAAATGAACTTGGGGAGCAGGGAAGAGATGGAGGGAGGGAGGGAGGGAGCTCTACAAGAAGAGTTGGCGGGAGGGAGGAAGGAGCTCTACAAGAAGAGTTGGAGGGAGGGAGGAAGGCATGAAGGAGTGGAGGGAAGGTGGTCAACCTGGCTTGTCGTTGGGATAGACTTCCATGCATTCTTCCATGAGCTCCTTTGCCACGTCCCACTGCCCCTTGAAGTAGGGGACGAGGGCCTTCTCGAACTGCCGGCGCCAGTCGGCGGAGGTGATGGGAGGGAAAGTCTCCCAGAAGTCGTTGCCAGAGGATTCTGAAGGAGGAGTCAGCTGGGGAGGAGGGAGGAGGATGGAGAGGCTGGGCGGATCAGGAGGAAGGAGGCGGAAGCAGTCCAAGGAGGGCACAAGGAAGAGGCGCTCAAGGCACACAGGGGACGGAAGACGCGGAGAGTCGGGGAGGGAGGGAGGGAGGGAGCAAGAGGAGAGGAGAAGCTACCGAGGAAATTCATGTCGTAGTCGTCGAGGCTGAAGGCTCTGGTGTCGTAGGTGAAGAGGTCGATGGGGGTTTTACTGTCAGGAACTTTGATCTTGTCGACCTGCTGCTGAGTCAGAGAGAGAGAGAGAGGAGGCGAGGAGAGAGAGAGAGAGGAGAGAGAAGACAGAGAAGAGAGGAAGAGAGAGAGAGAGAGAGGAGGAGGAGGAGGAGAGATGAACAAGTGGGAGACAAGGAGGGTAAGAAGAGGAAGGAGACAGCAGGAAGGATTGAGGACGAGAAAGGAGGCAGGAGGAGGAAGAGGGTGCCCGAGACCTTGCGGCAGAGCTTCTGGACAGGAGGGGAGAGGAGGTCCCAGAACGCGTCGGTCATGAGCACGAGAACGCCGTAGATCTTCGTTGCAGCCTCGAGCCTCTCCGACCACTTGACGTTGGGGGAGAGGTAAGTCGGGTCGATCTTGAGAGCTGAGCCGATGGCTCCCTCGATGGCCCAGCCAGCATGCAGCCCGAAGCCGAAGGTGATGGTGTAGTTGGGGATCCTTGCCTGAAGCTTCTCGTTGGAGGTCAGGCGAAGGAGAGCTGGGCAGGTCGAGGTCTCGAAGACGATTCTCAGCACAGTCCGCAGAGCCGCGTCAGCGGTCGAGACGACCTGGCCGACCGTCCGGCGCTCCGGCAGGCGCCACGCGAGCTGGAAGGCGTCGCCGACGTTTTGTTGGGAGCGCCCTCGTTCTCGGAGACCGAGCGATGCACAAAGTCAGCGACGCGATTGACGAAGATCATCACGTCCTCTTGCAGACACTCCGTGCAGTCAGTGAAGGATCGGATGTCGCAGAAGCCCCAGACGCCCTGGATGCGCTTGCCTGGGATCAGAGCGTTCACGTCCTTGCCGCTGTTGAGATTCTCGGTGATGATGGTGGAGCCAGCCTCTCCAAAGGCAATCTGAAGCATCGTGGACAACTTGATCAGAGCTGCTGCGATCGACTTCGTCTCTGCGTCCCCGTCTATGATCTCCGTCTCTGCGTTCATCCTCGCCATCGGGTCTGCCATAAGCCCTCGCACCATCGCCGTCATGGTCTCCAGCGGCACGATCACCAGCTTGTTGGTCAGCTGCCCGAAGTTGAAGGTGGCGAAGCCCAGCAAAAAGGTCACGAAGATCACCGTCGAGCAGCTCTGCATCGCTTGGCTCTTGGAGTCCTTGGTGGTCTTTAGAACGAGCATGGTACAGGGGTCCGCGTCCGCCAGGGAGGAGCAGGGGTAGCTGTCGCACGCGCCCCCGTAGAGGGTCCCGAACCCGAGCCGCCATGCTGCGATGTCGGGAAACCAGCGGGAGAAGGTCGAGTTGGGGTCAAGCCGGACGCTCTGGTTGAACTCAGTGCCCCAGGGGTAGGTACCTTGACAAGTTTGACTGCCGTTGAAGATCTCGATGAGCTGCTCGGCCGGGTACCCTCGTAGGTCGTACATCCAAGTCCTCTGGGAAGGGCCGTAGCCCCACACGTCAATGCCATTCACTCGCAGATACCGGAAGGTGCAGCCGATGGTTTCTTGCCGGGTTCCCAGCGTCGTCCGGTCAATGGGCGGGCAGCCGGGGAGGCAGGTGGAGTTGACCTCGGGCTGGTCAAGGCAGTTGTACTTCTGGAGGAAGCGGAGGGAGGCGGTAGCGAACGGCTCTGCGCTGACATTGTTGTCTGCGACGGTGAGGAGGTAGTCGAGGCGAGAGAGCTCGTCTTGGAATGTGCACTCGGAGGACTGGAACTCAGACGCAGTCTGGATGAGGAGGAGTAGCTCCCCAACGATGAGCATGGTGGCGATGATGACGATGATCTTCCGTTGGATCCCGTCGTTGATCAGCTGGCCGACTTTCGACCCCTCTTGCTGTGTCCTTGATTTCTTCTTGATGAGCGTCAGGGCCTTGAAGATTCGGACGATACGCGCTGCTCTCGTCCCTGCTCGCGCCGCTCGCCCGGCTCGAGCAACGGTCGCGCTCCCCCCCTGGCCTCCTCCAAAGAGGCTGATGTCCCAGAGGAGAAGGAAGTCAGGGGCGAGGGAGATGGTGGAGATGAAGTCAAGGTAGAAGAAGAAGGAGAAGCAGTAGCCCGGCTTGAAGAGCGTGTAGAAGATGAACTCCAAGCTGAAGAGGCAGAAGCAGAGCAGGACGATGGTGTAGAACGAAGGGTCACTCTCCTTAGACACATCCGCCATGGCGTAGATGTCGGTACCCCACAAGGAAAAGACAGTCACGACGATCATGAGCATAGTGAAGGCACTTTCCTCGGGATTCTCAACCACACCAGGGATCAGCGACTGAGGGCCCTCCCGCCTCCTCGCCCGCGCCTCCTCTTTGGCGATCCGCTTCTCCTCCGCCATGCGCAGCTTCTCGGCCTCGAGCCTCTCTTGCGCCGTCATCTTCTTCTCCGTCGTCACCTGCAGCACCTGCAGGTCCGATCGCCCCATGGAGCGCACAAGGTTGGAGATCTTCGCCATGTCCGCCTGCCGCTTGTTGATCTTCCGCTCCCACAGCTTGCGGTTCTTCGGGTCCCACTCGACCAGGTCGCTATCGTCGTCCACCTCCTTCTTCTCCTGGTACTCTTCCTCGTCGACCTCCTCGATAGGGTCGAGCAGGTGGGGGTTGAAGTCCTGCATCAGCTCCTCGAAGGTCTTCTTCCCTGCTGACGCCGACGGCAAGTTCTCTCCGTCGCTCACGATCTGCTTCGTCGCTACTCCGCTCATGAGCGCGCTGGTGCTGCGCCGAGGAGAGACGCTGCAGGAGTAAGGAATCAGACAGCAGCAAGAGAAGGGGAGGAGGACGAGCAGGAGCAGGAGGAGAGGAAGTGCTCGACCTGCTGCTGCCACCGGTAGAAAGCTGCCTCTCCATGAAAGCATGCTTCTTGGTCAGACTCTCCAGCGAGACTCGGATCGGCAGCTCTCGGATCTCGTCGGGGAGTTTAATCCAGTACTTAGTGACCTGGAGGACTGTCAGGAGGAGACGGCAAGACTTCGAACGAGCAGTCACTCTTACCAGCCCGTCGTCGCTCTTCTCGATCGCCTGCACCTCCCCAGTTTTGCCCTCGTACCTGCACCCAACAGACTCACGACAAGACCCCAGGGCCCTCGCACGTGCCTGGAGAAGTTGGGAGGGAGGTTGGAGACGATGACTTGATTTCCAACTTCGATCGTGTTCCTGGACGAGGACTTGGAGTGCAGGAGGGGAATGTCAAAGTTGTCGTCCTGCAAGGGCGGAGCCGATTCTGGCGAGGACGGTGGAATCATCTCGGATCTTGCCCCGTCCGTCGCCTCCGCAGGCAGCCTGATGCTGTCGGGGAGGGCAGGAGGACGAGAGTAGAGGCGAGGAGAACTCTCACTCTCCTCCAGCTTCGCCTGCTCCCGCGGGTTTGCAGCAGCGGGCATGGGAAGAATTTCTTCGCTCGCGCCTGCACAGACAAAGGGAACGTAAGGGGAGCCAAGAGCTCGAGGAGGCCGGCGAACCTTCATCCCTTCCAGCGCTAGAGGAGACGGACGTGTGCTGGTCGTAGACAATCGTAGCAGCAGCCTGGGGGGCTGCTGGAGGGAGCAGAGGAGTTGACTGAGGAGGTCAAGTCAGTTCGGCACGTGAAGCAACAGGGCCCTCACGTCTGATTCTTGTTCCCCCCAGTCTTCTCCTGGATCTGACGTTTCTCTTCCAAACTCTCCCCCGCTCACGGTCAGGGGCAGGTCAGCCCCTTCCTCCTGCCGCCTGCTCGACGACGGCAGCGCCATCCGAGCGACGAGCGCGTCCAACGGGTTCAACTGTGACCGACATCAGCGGCAGCCTCCCTCCCCTCCCTTCCCCGCACGCACATGCTGCTGCGCGGACGACATGTCCAGCGAGTCTTCCCTGCTCGAGTCCGCATCCATGTGCCCAGGAAGGTCCATGAACTGCACTGGAGTCTCGAACTGCCATGGGCCGTCAGGGCTGCTAACTCGAGGAGGCAACGGCAGGACCTGACTGTCAGTATCGTCCTCCTCGTCCGCCAAAGAGTGCATCGGTGAGGGACCCAAGTCCCGAAGAGCTGGAGGAGCTCTGCCCATGTCTCTTGCCTGCCGCAATGGAGCATGAGACGGTTGAGATTCTGACAGCTGCAGGAAGAGCAGGAGGGGCACAAGCAGAAACAGAAGGAGGAGGAGGGGCGCAAGCAGAAACACGAGGAGCGGGAGGAGGAGGAGCAGAAACAGGAGGAGGAGGAGGAGGAGGAGGAGGAGGAGGAGGAGGAGGAGGAGGAGGAGGAGGAGGAGGAGGAGGAGG